TTCCAACTCCCGACATTCTGTGATTCTGTGATTTGGGTGCTGTGACTGTAGAAGATAATGAGGGTAGTGGAACTGAGACTGCGAAATCGGAATTAGGTTGTACTAATGTTAAGAAGAACAGTTGAGTGAAAACTCAGAACTTGAAGATCCAATTAGTAGCTTGAGCATTGAGATCAGTTACATCAAGACAATGCTAGAGTGCAAAACTGATACGTGAGAGAAAAAGAATGTCACTGTTTCTCTTTTACAATACTATTATTTTGTATTGGGTATTTTTTCACCCATAATTCTTAAATTACTAAATTGTTTCAGGAGGCTTAAAAATGTGTATATTCTTCTAACTTCCTGTTTTGGTACTAGGGGTCTAGCTTTATTCGCTGTATCAAACCTAATTTAAAGATGACAAACCACCATTTTGAAGGAGGACAGATTCTCTCTCAGCTTCAGTGTTCAGGTACTGTAAGCCTCTGATTTTTTTCCCTCTGTTTATTACTTTGGGCATTATAGATTGACCCAAGTTTGAAATATGTGAGATAGAAGCAATATTTCCTTGCGTGAACTGTTGATTTCCAGAAGGTTATTTATGCCTTATGAACAGTTACTTGGATTCTTAGTAGCTGAGCTCTCATTTTAGTGAATAGAAGTCCAAAAATAATTCATCTGAACAACCGTAAGGTCTCTTCTTTGCAAGAAGAGGTGATGTAATTTCCATCAACTGTTTTCCCATTGGTTACAATGAGAGTTCAGACACCAGGTGCATGTGTAGCCATGTATTGATAACAGAAATTTAGATTTCCTGACCTGGAGACAAATCCCATCTCTTTGTGTTGCCCACAGTGTTAGTAGGGCAGCAGTTCAGTCCAGAACAACATAATTCCTTTAAATTACTGCGGCAATTGAAGTGTCAGTAGCTCCTGTGTGCATTCAGAGGACTGTGTATCAGCTGAGATATCGAATAATTGAAACATGCCTGTTTGATTTTATAGGTACTATGATAGAGTTGAATTGTACTGGTTTACTTTTTCGAGATTTCTTTACACCACTGTTAATTTGATTTGGAGCTGAGCTTCCAACAAGGATACTTAAGCATAGTCTTTCCTGTTGCTTTGTATACCACAGATTGCAATGCTGCATTTTTGTTGCTCTTGAATGCTGGCTGCTTTCCTATTTCACAGCTTTATTGTGAAGAGAGAATATTAACAGCATTGCTTGTGCCCCACTGAACAGTGGAAGGAACTGCTTGTGCTGGTATTGTTGTTCTTCATAGGGTGTTTGTTCATCAAAGTACTTCAGTATTTTTTTCCCCTTTTCTGTATTTTTGTACTTTCAGTAGCTTGTACTTAATTTCTTCTCTTTGTGAAAGTCGAGGTACTTCCAGGTTTTGCAGCTGGTGGTTTGACAACCCTACGTGTTTAACATCCTGTTATCGTCACAACAGCTTAACGACTTTTCAGCAATTAGAAGTCCATTAACATCATTAGCAGTAGGCTTCTTCAGGTTAACAGCATTTGGTATGTCAGAGAGGAAAAATAACAAATTCCCCCTGCCCCCAACAATTGCCATGTTTTACAGTAGTTTTACAAGCTCACTTTTCCATGTGTACTTACTTCAGCAACAGTAAATGAAGCTTAATCTAATAAAACAAGGTTATAACATGTAATATTAAAAGAGCAAGATGTAATGCTGTGAAATATTTTCTTAAAAAAGACACTGTAATCAAATCAAATCTCATACATAAAGCAGTGGGCAAAAGCTGGCACTGCCTGTGCTGCTTGGAGTAATTTGAACCTGTTACTGACTTTGTGTCTGTGCTTTACTGATGTCCTGGTTGAAGCCAAAATGTAGTAACAGTATTTGGGACATTGAAATTACATCTTAGCAGCTGATACCCAGTGCTGCAAGTACACCAGATGTTCTAGCACTGCGTCTGTATTTGACGTTGTGTCTGCACCACATCTCAGAAGTATCACTGACGTGATGAAAATAAAAGCCTGGTTGAGTACTGGTTTCTGGTTTGTTTTCCTGTAAAAATGAAAAGGTCAAGTCTGCTAAAATGAAAAAAAATATTTAGAAGAAATAGTAGGAAAAATATCCTGTGTGTGATTGGGTGCTATTCACCTCTCAGACAGGGAGAAAATTGCATTGGCTCTTCTGTCCGTTCAGTGCTAAGGTTTTGTGAATGACCACAGCAAGAAATGTCAGAGACTGGATCAAGTCCCAGGATAGCTTTGTGGTTTGGTCTTTGAACGATGTCTTTGAGGCTTATGTCTGAAACTGCTGCTTATCCTACAAACCATTGCTCCATTTGCATTTTGTTGATAGCAGCTTGGTGCATGTGTCTCTGTGAATTTAGGAATGGTGTCAGTCCTGGATTTGATGCAAGGTGGTTTCCCCTCTCGAGCTTCATTTCATGAACTATATAATATGTACAAGAAATATTTGCCTGACAAATTGGCTCGACTGGATCCCAGGCTCTTTTGCAAGGTAAGAAAGAAATTTCTTCTTCTTCTCTATCATCCAGGACAGAAAATGTATCGTGAGGGGTTTTTTGTGTGTGTTTTCTGAATTGTTTTTTTCTTTTTTGAAGGAGGCAGAGTAAAATCATAACTGTTCTCTGTGTTTCAGGCACTATTTAAAGCCTTGGGACTGAACGAAAATGATTACAAATTTGGGCTAACCAAGGTGTTTTTCCGACCTGGCAAGGTAATGTTTCTCTTGGAGTCCTTCAATGAGACTCTTAATGATTTTGTTTGGAAGGGACCTCTGAAGGTGACGTTGTTCAACACATTGCTTAAAGTGTGGCCAACTTAAATAAGATTGCCCAAGTTTTTTTGTAAACACATTTTTCGATGAAAAAAATCAATATTAATACTGATATACTTGGTATCATAGTGGTGTTGCTAATGCAGCTGTATTCCTAATGCAATGTTTATATCCCCAGATGTTCTACCAGTCACTTTAGACTTATGTTTACTATTAAAAACAGTAAGTCAGAGCAAAGAAAAAACATTTTCTGGTAAAATCTTAATTATAGCTGAAATTTCTTTCTGTGATTCTGAGCATTGCTGCTGCTATGCAGAGAAAGGAGATGAAGTAGGGAGCTGTTGTGACGAGAAAGGAAAATTATTGTAGTCCCAGAAGGATGTTCTTACTGTCATAATTACCAAAAAGTAGAAGTGCAGGATGTTCAGAAAAGGTTGCCTTTAGTTGGACCCTTACATAAAAGTTAAAAACTGAGAAGTGCTTTCAGGCTTTATTTTTCCCCAGATACAGAATTAGAAGTGCCTTGAAGTTGAAGAAGACAAGAGTTAAGTGTTCAGAATGTAGAGAAACAGTTCATTTTTAAAACTTTTGACAATAATATTTTTAGTGATTAATAAATGGTTGGGTATTCAAAATGCTAAGTGTTGCACATCAAACAAACAAACAGAAAACCCCAGTAGTAATTTCTGTTATCATTAAAGAATAGTGATGCCAGACATACCTGCTCACTTGAATTAACTGAAAGCTGATGCACCGATGTCTTACAGTTCACACTAAAAATATTTTACCTTTTTAACTCAACATGCTCTGGAATAATAATGATGTCTAACACTCTCTGTTCTCCTAATGTGTACAATTTTAGTTTTGTTTGTTGTTTAGTTTGCAGAGTTTGATCAGATAATGAAGTCTGATCCGGATCACTTGGCAGAGCTGGTTAAACGGGTGAATCGCTGGCTTATCTGCAGTCGTTGGAAAAAAGTTCAGTGGTGTTCCCTCTCAGTAATTAAATGTACGTATTTTGTGTTTTATTAAATCAAAAAGTTTGTTAATAACACAGCAAAGCAGTTGTTATCACCTTGAATTGTGGCCAAGGACACATATAGCAGATTATTTCATACTGAAGTCTGAGTAAGTGCCTGTCACTATTGATACGTAATTTCTAAGTGCTTGGCCTGTCCAGTTTACTGTGCAGAGTAGGAATGAGATTGGTGCTTGTGCAATAAAGTTGTCTGGGAGATGGGGAATGGTCTGATGCAGAGTGTCAGGGATGCTGAATAAAACAGAGGGTGGAAAGTACATTAAGATGAGGAAGAAGAGCATAAAGGCCTTATGCCTTATGACTGCGCATTTGGGCTAGCACAGTCGTGACATCTGCATCTGTCACTGATTGTATGCTACGTGTTGCTGTTTATAGTGGGGCAAATAGAAATTGTGAATTCTTATCGTACGGGTTTCAGATATTAAAAATTGTAGCACTAAAATATGTTTTTGACCTAGAAATTTATGCCATTTAGCCTATTTTTCAGAAAGATAGGACAGAAAGTCTTGTCACTGTATCCCAAAAGTAGAAACCCAGGAAAATAATATGCTGGTTTGACGTGCCTTACTTTTTTTAGTATTTTATGGAAAATCAGAAGCTAATTTTATCCTCAGGATAAAGCTGAAATAGACAGACAAAAAGTAGAGTGCATCTTTGTGATCACCTAAGTCCAGTAGTTAAATATCTCTGTGCTCACACAGTGTGCTCAGCTGACGTCTAGAGGCACCATGGATCCTGGGAGGCTGTGCTTCCTCTGGTAGATGTGTAAACCTGCAGTTATTCCGCTTAAAGCTACTCTGTGCGCATGCTTGTGGCTGTGCCCTGACATTATTCTCTGTTTAACTTGCCTCCTGGTCCCAGTCATTTTTTGTCTTTAGATGAGGAACAACAGCAGCTGGAGGTTTTGTGTTCTTTCATTTCGGTATTCAGAGAGAGCTGCTCAGCAAAGTTACAGCCACTTTATTATCTCTAGCAAATATTGGCTGTTTGATTACCCTTCACCACAGGAGCTGAGCATTTCCTGCTTCCTAGACCCAGTGACTTTTCGCTGAGGTTACTGGTGTCTGCGAATCTGGAGGGGCAGGGGTGCTCACATGTGATTGCGCACATGCTTAGTTCTTCTCATTTGTTTTGGGTGGGAGCCTCTATGCCTGGCTCAAGATTGTGAATTCTGTTGTTCCAGTACAGACCTAGCTCTCAGGTGTGTGTAGTCTGCATACAGTTTTGAGCCATCAGGTGTATGAGTAATATAGGAGTCGTGTGAAATTGTATAAACCACTGAGACTCAGTATCTTCTGTGTGTTTACAGTGAAAAATAAGATAAAATATCGAGCCAGTGCCTGCATTAAAATACAAAAAACTATTCGTATGTGGCTTTGCAAGAGAAAGCACAAACCACGGTAAGAGGATATTCCTTGGTTGAATAAGATGGATTTCTCATAACATTTTCTTGTAAATGTGTAGGAGATTTACTATGCTTAATGTATCTGAAGTCATAGAACCATGCTAAGTACAACTGAAAGAGGTGCCATGTTCCCCTCCCTTTCCCAAGGATGAATGAGCTAAATCTGAACCTTATCTAAGGGATGTTTGTTTAGCTCTTTGTTCACAAAATCCTTTGGTGATAGCCTGGTTATTAGAAATCCTTAGTTAAGTCTCTCAAAATGAAATCTAAGCTCATTAATTTTTGTCCTTTACCCATTCACACCTTCCTTTCTACGCCTCCTTTCTTTTTTATCTTAAAAATAATTGTGTGTTCTGGCCCTCTTGTCTCCTCTTAAAATTAAGCAACGCCATTAGCTTTAATCTGGCTGCATGGAATCCTGATGGCAGAACCACTTTGGTCATTAAGCTCTGCTGACACCTTTTTGTTCTTTGATAGAGATCCAGCTCTCTGTTCTTTAATTGTGGGGTTCTTATAAAATGTTTTCTTTTACGTCCTTTGATAGTTATGTTTCATTTTGTACCTTGACATTTCTGACCATGTCCCTATACTATTAAGCTGTTCTGTACTCATCTTTAATGATTTGATTTGTTTTCTACTTTTTCCGCGGTGTTTTCCTGAATTTAGTGATTTTTTTCTAGGACGAGTGTCTCTGTAGAGCTGTAACTTGTATGTGTGGCCTTCAATATTGGTTTTTTAAAAAGCTCCAGATTGTCCTGGACTTTTCCCCAGACTTCTTGTTCCCTGTGGGGTCTGATGGCTGGGTTCCCTGCTCTCTGGTTAAGTTTTATCTGATTCAGTCCCATTATTGCTCTTTGAGTAAGTGGCACAACTGAACCTTTATCCACTTCAGCAAAAATCATCTAGTGGTTACTAATGATTTGTTACTGAAAAAAACCCCACAACGCCACCTTAATTCTGGAAATCAAAATGGATTTTTGTATTTTGAGTCACCATCTGCTAATCAGTTTTAACTATTGCTTGCTAAAAGCTCCTGTGCTTAATTACTTCACGTTTGAATTTCAAAACTAGAGGGTGAGCTTTTATCAGAAGCCATAACTTGTCTCCCCTGTCCGTCTCCTTAATGTGAGTGGCGATAATTTAAAAGATGTCGGCTTGTCGAGACCTCTCAGGATACAAATAAACCATCTTACCTTCACAGCATCGATGGCCTGATAAAAGTGCGTACGCTGAAGAAGAGACTTGATAAATTTAATGAAGTAGTAAGTGCTCTGAAGGAGGGCAAGGCGGAGACAAGCAAGCAGGTCAAGGAGCTGGAGTATTCTATTGATGCTTCAATGACCAAAATTAAGGTAATGAGAGAAATAATTTCTTTTTACTGGGCTCCTTTAAGAAAATCTTAAAGTAGAAGGCAAATGTATTTTTTCTTAATAGAAAAGACATTTAAATCTTAATTTTCAGAGTGAGTAAATTCTGTTTAAAAATATTTCTGAATATTACTGAAGTGAATCATGAAACTGGGTGCATACGTCTAGACTTTGGTGTTATTCTCTGTGTTTCAAAATTGGCACAGGAGAATTTAAAGCAAAAATGCATGTTGAAGTTGTGAGACAAGTGTTGCTGACAATTTGCTTGTTGCTTTTATTACCGGAATAATGCGTATTAGCAATGTCTTAAATTAATCAAGGCTGAAACGTGCAAGCATTTATCACAGAGTGAAAAGGTTTATATTCCAGTTATGAGGGGTTTTTTCAGACTTGGTAGTGAAGAGAATTCAGCTTGCTGATTATGCTTCAGGGTCTGTAGTTCTCAGTTTCTTACCACAAAAGCACACGGACAAAATGAAAGCACACTGGGATTTATTAATGTTAGGAAAAAAATTTCATGTGTTGAATTTATTTCACACGGTATTATAGGTTTCTGTCAACTTACAGTTCTCTTTTCTAATAAAAAATAAGATAATTAGATTATCATAATGATACACCCTCAGAAAAGGACTGCAAACACCCCAGTTTTATTAATATACATCAATGTGAATTGTAAAATGAAACTAAATTGTGGCTATCAATGAGCTTTGAAAACATAAGTACTGAAGACTATTGTTTTAAGTATTTTCAAACTGTTATTTGCTACTAATACCTTTCTAAAAAGCATACTCCAATACTTGGTTTCTGAGTGCTAGCACACATAGTAAAGAGAAACTTACCATAGTAGTGGTCAATGGCTCCAAGTCCAGATGGAGCTGGGTGACAAAGTGTCCCTCAGGGCCCCATACTGGGACCAGTGCTGTTTAATATCTTCACTGATGCTGACAGTGGGATTGAGTGCACCCTCAGCAAGTTCCCTGATGATACCAAGCTGGGTGGTGAGGTCAATGTGCCAGAGGGAAGGGATGGCATCCAGAGGGACCTGGACAAGCTGGAGAACGGGGCCCAGGTGAACCTTATGAGGTTCAACAAGGCCAAGTGCAGGGTCCTGCACCTGGGTTGGGGCAATGCTCATTATCAGTACAGGCTGGGGGATGGTGTGACGGAGAGCAGCCCTGAGGAAAAGGACTTGGAGATAACTGGTGGATGAGAAGCTGGACATGAGCCACCAATGCTCATAACCCAGAAGGCCAACTGCATCCTGAGCTGCATGACAAGAAGAGTGGCCAGCAGGGCCAGGGAGGGGATTCTGCCCCTCTACTCTGCTCTGGTGAGACCCCACCTGCAGCAGTGTGTTCAGGTCTGGAGCCCTCAGTAGAGGAAGGACATGGATGTGTTGGTGTGAGTCCAGGGGAGGGCCACCAAAATGATCAGGGGCTGGAGCACCTCTCCTGTGAAGACAGGCTGAGAGAGTTGGGGCTGTTCAGCCTGGAGAAAAAGGCTCCAGGGAGACCGTGTAGCAGCCTTCCAGTACCTGAAGGGGTCTTACAAGAAAGCTGGGGAGGGACTTTTTACAAGAGTGTGTAGCAATAGGATGAGGAGCAGTGGTTTTAAACTAAAGCAGCGTAGATTTAGATTAGACATTAGGAAAAAGCTCTTCCCCATGAGGGTGGTAGATCACTGGCACAGGTTTCCCAGAGAGGTGGTGCAGGCCCCATCCCTGGAGATATTCGAGGTCAGGCTTGATGGGGCTGTGAGCAACCTGATCTGGCACCAACGCCCCTGCTCACTGCCGCTCACTGCAGGGGAGCAAATTGGACCAAAGGGCTTCTAAAGGTCCTTTCCAACCTGACACATTCTGTAATTCTGTGAAACTGTTCTGTGCTCTGAGCTGTAGATTTTAAAATATGAAGGCATGTTTTATAGAGAAGTCATGTTTAATTTTGGTGATAAACTGACGATTACTTTGTATGGTTTTTATTGAGAGAGGAGAGTAATGGATCCCCAGGATTTTAGGAAGAAAGAGATGGATGTGCTCAAGCTCTCCCACCCTGAAGTGTATAAATAATTTAATTATACTGCTCAGTGTTCTCATTTCACTTAAATTTTTTTCAATATACATTAAAAAGTAAAGTACAAATGTTAAAGAATATAATCCCCTCTTATGGTTTCATGTTGCAGACCACTATAATGACTAGGGAACAGATACAGAAAGAATATGATGCTGCTCAGTGCTCTCATTTCACTTAAATTTTTTTCAATATACGTTAAAAAGTAAAGTACAAATGTTAAATAATATAATCTCCCCTCTTATGGTTTCATGTTGCAGACCACTATAATGACTAGGGAACAGATACAGAAAGAATATGATGCTCTGGTTAGAAGCTCAGAGCAGCTTCTGAGTGCACTGCAAAAAAAGAAACAGCAAGAGGAGGAAGCAGAGAGGCTACGACGTATCCAAGAGGAAATGGAAAAAGAAAGAAAGAGACGTGAAGAGGAAGAACGACAACGAAGGAAGGAAGAAGAGGAAAGACGTCTGTGAGTCTTGAATAAGTTGCTGGTTATAGAATGAGAAGAAAATAGGAAAAGCACTTTACTGAGGTTGTTTTTAATAGTCCTAGGCTTGAAGAGAGCGTTTAGAAGTTTCCTTTCCCAGTGGTTTATATGGTACGTGTAGTCAGAATAGAGGATGGCAGAAATTACATGGTGCAGCTGGAAATACAGGTGGACGAGGACAGTTTCTTAAGTTTACACGTGGTGTCCTGTCATCAGGACTGCACTGACTTCTGGGTTACCAGTCAGTTTGATGGAAGATGCTTTCCCGTCATTGTTCACTTGCATCATAATAACATGTTTGCATTTCCTCCTCTTTTCTAATAGGAAATCTGAGATTGAAGCAAAGAGAAAACAGGAAGAGGAAGAGAGGAAAAAGAGGGAAGAGGAAGAAAAGCGTATTCAGGTTAATGTTTTACTTGTGTGGGGGTTTTGGGTGGGGTTTTTTCGATGGTAGGGGTTTCTTTTTTATAAATATTATTTGTATTGTTTCTAAAATCTTTTTGACAGCCTGGGTTCTCTGCTGAGTCTACCAGCTTTGTTTTATAAATGCATTTAAGAGTCATTCAGCACTGTTGCCTTTGGAGTAAATGTAAGGCAAAAATCATGATTAGGGCATCCCAAGACAGATCACCTGTTTCTAGTTCACATGGTAGTCCAGGTCTACAGCGTAATTTCTTTTTAAAGGCTTTTTTGAAGTTATTTTGAGGTTAAAAAAGCACAACACTGGAGAATCCTAGTTTATCCTTAGAAGTTTTTGCAGATGCTCCATGTTAGGTAAGTTTGACCCTTGTTTAGTAAATCACATGTGGACTCAGGCTGTGTCATGTACCAGCTTCACTGTAAACACTTCCAGAGTATTGATGATAACGAGACTATACAAGATTGTCTCTGTGACCCATTTGGCTACATTTCAACAGCTACATGCGGTCCTTGGAACTAACAGAGAAGTTACAGCCTAACTTTGGTGAAAAATGAATCTTTCCTGTGTTACTGGGTCTGTCACCTGTGTCAGAATCACAAGCACTGCCGGCTTGCAGAAGTTTAACATAAAAAGATTAAGCTGGTACTTGGCTGGTCTCTAAATCATTTCTTGGAGACCACTCCAGATGTGCCTGGTGTTTTGTGAGAAATTCATTGCGTAAGTTTCCATTCGGAGACGGCTTAAATGGGTTAAACTTTGTCCACTGAGGAAGCAAGATGGCCAGTTGCCAGAAGGTTTAAAAACTTGGTCTGCCAGCACTGTGAGCATCTCTCGGGATTGTCTTTATTTCTGTTGCCGAGATTTGGATGTCTGCAATGCAGAATGTAATTTACACGTAGAAACAGTGCGTTTGGATACAAAGCAGATATGTAATCCTGTAGGATATTTCTTTCTTCTATATACAGTTAATTACTGTTTGTCTCTCCTCCTGGTGGTTGTTACTATCAGCGAATCTCAAATGGGATTCATAGAGTACAGTCACTGGTGCAAATTCCCAATGAGTGGGAAGTGTTGTTATCTCCTTTTGGGCACCAAGACAGGCACGGCTAAGACTTGGCGTGTATGAATTTCAGAAGTATGAATTGGATGGTCAAGTTTTACTTACTGAGTCTGCAAGACCCTTTGTTAAATAATGGTAAGCTGGAATTACAGCTTTGCTCTGCAGAGGCAGTGTATCTGGATTGCTCCTGCACTGCAGTGCGTTGGAATTTTACCATTTGGTTAAATTCAAAGCCGGATCAGGTCCACAGAGGATTGCAGTGTTTGTCTTGATCCATTTTCAGAATGAACCACAGACCTCTGTGCAAAGCAGTGCCTGTTGCAGAGTCTTGTAATATCAAGGGGACATTGTGTTAGTGCTGTGGAGGAGTGACCATGTTGCTCTGTATCACCTGAATTGTAGTGATGCTACAAACCTTTGAACTCTAGTTTTTGTAATAGCTTACAAAAAGCCTCTTGTGTTTTTTAAGTAAGTAATAATTGATTGGCTCTTTAATTTGGGAAGGTAATACAAGGGATGGACAATAGTGATTTGATATCTGGAAACCAAGATGCAGTCTGTAGCTGTTTTGTCTTTCTGGGGTCAGACTAAATACTAATGCTGTTACTTTTTCAGTTCTGTACATTTTGCATGTTTTGAAAGCTATTGATATACTTCTTGGTATGTTGTTCTAATAATTTGCTTATGTAGCATTTTAGTTTTGACTGGCTAAGGCTAAAGGTGTGTTTTTCTAAAACAGGCAGAAATTGAGGCTCAGCTGGCCAGAGAACGGGAAGAGGAAACCCAGCACCAGGCAGTGCTTGAACAGGAGCGTCGTGATCATGAACTTGCAATGAGAATTGCCCAGAGTGAGGCAGAACTCATCAGTGATGAGGCTCAGCTTGATTTAGGATTGCGCAGGTATGGGGTTAAGTAGTTACCTTCTCTTTTTTCTGGTCATCTTCCTATCCTGATCCCTTTGAGAAGACTACAATCCTGTTGGGTTTATGTACTTTTGTATTAATTACATGGACCTTTTAAGTCAGTGTATTGGAATATTTTTCAGATTAACTTGTGAAGTTTGTTAGAAATGATTGCTTTTGCTTAAAGACTTCCTCCATTGTGCATCCTGCTCCATCAGTAATTTAGTAGGCGCTTGTGAATACGACTGCACTTCTCTCTCTCTTTTTGAGTTCTGGCAAGGACAGCAACCAATTTAAATTATGATCTTTATGACTTATTTAAAGTAGTGAAAGGAATTGGTTCAGTGGTAAGTAGAAATAAAAGATACCCTTTCTGGTACTTGATGGTTTTAGTGGAACGGTGTGAATTTGTGTGAGGGTTTTTTGGTTTGGTTTTGTAGTTTCTTTTTTTTAAGATGTCCTCTTTGAATGCAGAAATAGTAGTTATTTCTGTCTTCTGACTGTTCAGTTTTTTAAAGTGGAGTGAATATGTTTAACATGGAATGGTTTGAAAATCAAATATTGTCTTTAAGATTTTGGTGAGGGGTTTTTTTTGTGAATTTTTTGGTGTGTCACAAGAAGTGCTTGGCTTTTGGTATACAGATCCACAGCGCCTACAGAGCAAGAGCTCTTCGTGTGTAAAGGGTGATGCCTTAGGAGCAACTTAGAAGTTCCAGTAAAAATGATGCTTATTGGTCAAATAGCTTAAAGGGACCTATGAATGTGATCACGTCACTGGTGACTTCAGTAGTGCCAGTCAGTTTGTTGTTGTTGAAAGGAGGAGTGTAAGAAAATCTCAAGTGTTTCCATGGATTTTCAAGCTCTCAGATGTGTTCTCTTTGCTACTCAAATGTTATCTAGGTGTATACTTTTTTTAAACAACTGTATGCCTACATGAGATAGATGATTATTTTTGGTCATATATAACACTGATTTTTTCGACAGTTCCTCTAAAATCATTGTGGTTTAGATGCACAGTAGCTGTAGTATTATCTCAGTTAAGACTTTTAACATGTTCAGCTGAATGTCCAAGTGCTTCACAGCATTTTTGAGACTTCCATACTATCTCTATTTGGATCTTGGTGTAATGCCTTGAAGGTAAACCCACAGTCACTCTAGTGTTGCAACCTGGCAAACTTCTCTTAAATACGAAAGAAGGGAGGCAATAGGCAAGAAGGGCTCAGAGAATTCAGTAACTTTCTGTCAGTGAAGCTCAAATCTCCACAGCAGTTCCTGTCACTCCTGGGGTCTTCTTGTGTAGTCCTGGAATGGATGATAAACATCCTGATAGTTCCGACTGCCGGTTTTTCTGAATAAAGAAAGATAAATTCGGACACAAGCTGGAACACAGGAGGTTCCACTTAAATTTGAGAAGAAACTTCTTCTCAGCGAGGGTGACAGAGCACTGGACCAGGCTGCCCAGAGAGGTTGTGGAGTCTCCTTCTCTGGAGACATTCAAAACCCGCCTGGACGCCTTCCTGTGCAACCTCATCTGGGTGTTCCTGCTCCGGCAGGGGGATTGGACTGGATGAGCTTTTGAGGTCCCTTCCAATCCCTAACGTTCTGTGATTCTGTGATAAATAATAAAGAATAAAGACTCTCTTCTGAATGATTGGAAAGTGCAGAATGGTCTGAACAAGTTAATATAGAGACAGAAATCCTTTCTTGAACAAGATAGTATATAAATATAGAAAATATATAAATACAGATAATATATAAATGTAGAAAGAAGTAATACCTTTTCCTGCTCATATGAGATTTCTTTTTAGCTCATAAGCAGTTTTTTTTTGTTTCTGCAGTCTCCTTGAAAGAGGTTTAAGCATGTCCAAAAATTGAAAGTTCTTTTAATTTCACCTTTGATTTGATTTTGGTTTGGTTTGTTTAGAAACAAACTAAAACATTCCCCAGACCCCAGCGTCTTCTGCTGAAATCGAAGGGTAGATTTCCATGGAACTGAAACATAAAGGTAGAAACTGGGGGAATTATTCTCGGAAATGAAAACTGTTTGTGGGTTTGAACAAAATACGTAATTTAATGATCTAAACAGAAATTCTTAGCAATTATTTTAGCTGAGAATTAAAATTTCACTGAAGTCTAAGGAAGTTATATTCTGCCGTCTTCTGGATTTGAGACTTGCATGTTACCGTATGATACACTGAAGTCACTGACTTTTAGGTATGCATATTTCCCTTTTCTGTTAAATTTTGCTGTAGTAAGGTAAAGCATGTACTGCTGCATACTAAATTCATGCAGGATACTGATTTTACAGCGTTTTCACACAATTTTGTAAAAAACTGTTTCATGCTTACACACTGACGTGAACAAAAGAATATTTTCCATTGTACTGTACTACCTGTGGAGTGAAAATAGTAAGGACAAGGTGATTTTTATATACCACACAGAAAGAACTCTTGTATTTTTCTCATTTTTAAAGAATATGTGTTGTCATATTTGAAAATTAGTAGCCTTTACTTTAATTTCTTTTCTTCTCAGTACTTTGCTGCACTCACCATTAGTTTTTGTAGATATTTAAAAGGAGTTTGTTTGAGAAATGTATTTGTTGGCTTCTGTCAAAGCAAAGGTTTTTGTTCTGGCAGTAGATCTAGCATTTTTATTTGTGCTTCCTGTGTGCTGGATATGCTGGACCTCTCCTAGCTCATCCAATTTTATTACTCATCCACAATTTGAAAACGTGTGTAGTAAGAAATTCACCCCACCAAAGGGTAAATTAAGTAAAAAATCTGTTAAATAATAGATACCTGTTTTCAGCTGTGTCATATATTTAATTTACATGGCTTATTGAAACGTATAGCATACAGCACCAGATCAGCTAACCTCAGTGAAGGTGGTGTGGGTGTATCTGTTGGAGCAATCCAAATAACTTCTAATTTGTAGCATATTCAGGCTGCGTGTGTGTGCACTTGGGCCTTCTGTACGGCAGTCACACTCAGTGTCTTTATACTGCTTGTTCTGGTCCCAGAGCAGCTACATGAGGATGGTTGTTATTTCTTGTGATATCTAGGCATAGGATATATCAGTAGCATGTCTTTGGTCAAAACACAAAATCAAATCGAAATCTTAGATTTTGAAAGATGGGCTGGGGAGAAGAAAGGATGGGGGAAGTTTTCACTTGTACATTTTTTCCACATTATCTTAACTTGACTTTTAAAGAATAATTTAACACTCCTGATAGAATGAAAAAGGTGAAGAAAAAAGGTCTGTATAATCCTATTTCTCAGTAAAAAAAACCAAAACCATAAGGTAGTAAATAAGGTGTGAGAGAGCAGGGAATACCATGACCCACCTTTTCCCATTTCCCATTATTAAAGAGATAACTAGGAAGTAGCCTAACATACGTATCTTGTATTTGCAGAGCCAATGGAACAAAGCTGCAAATGACTGCGTATGGCATTTTTTTTCCATTTGAATGCTCTAATAGAAAAAAAGCAACACTAATTCAAATAAAATCAATGCTATCCTCTTACTTACTAATACCTCATTATACTCTTCGTTAGCATGCATCTGTAAACTTTAAAGCAATTTGTAATACCTTATACCCACTACTGTGCTTGTGTCTAATAAACAAGTTAATAATCTATCTAATAATACCTGTTTAAAGGTAAGCTGTGTAAAATTTTTCACATACCATCCATTTTTCACTGCCCTGCGTGATTTGTTGCACTTTACAGAATCAGGACCGTGTGTATGTATATCTTAAATGGAAATTATTTAAAATAAGTAGGGGGTTTTTTTGGTGCATTTGAATTAGCTTCAGTTTGGTTGGCAGGACACTGTCACAGTTGAAAAGGCTGTTTTCATGTTAATATATTTGGTTTATGCTTATTTATCAATTTTCTTGTAGGGAACAAATGGCCACAGAAATGTCAGAAATATTGTCTAGGTAGGTGAGAAGACAACACCAAATGAATCAATCATTTTATAAAAAGGAATCATGCATGGAATGGGTTGAATTGTAATGGAATGAAAAAGAATGAAATCTATTTGGGGTTTGGTTTGGTTTTTTTAGGTGCTAATCACGTAGGTAGATTATTTCTTTCAGATAAATTTCCTTTATCAACACCTTTTTTCCAGCAATTAATTTTCTGCTATTTTAATTGATTATATATAGAAAAAGAATAAGAATAGCTCACGTACCCTGGAATTTTGTGTAATTTTGATAATGTTCCTCCAGATTTCTCTTCTTTTCAGCTTTTTTGTAATGATAATAGAAACCTGGGCTCCACGTCTTTCGAAGGAGTTATTTCTACAGATTCAACACAGAGTCAATGAAGTGTCTCATTGTTAATGTAACTGTTAGTGCTTTTAATAAGAAAATATTCTACTTATAATTCCCTTCAAATGAAAGCAGTTTTGGAAATTACCACATTAAAAGCGTATTAAAACCCCTCTTAAGACATCCAAACAAAATCCCTTTCTGAGATCTCTTGAACGCTAATGCAAGATTTTATGCACAGCGCAGGAGGAAAGGAGAAGGCACGTTCAGATCTGAATACATTTCTACTGTAACAGTCTCACGTGGTTTGTGTTTGAATACTAATTCTCTGCTGAAAGAAATTGCTATAATTTCCTCCCTATCCGTGAGAAGTGAGGAAGTGTTTTGTGCAACTTAAGGACAAAAATAACCTTTTCAAATTCATTTTATGAAGCTTACATAAGAAGTGAAATTATTTAGAGTGTGGAAAAGTGAATCTGTTGTTAAACAAGCTGCTGTGCTGTGAATATTTATAGTCTGAAGATGATCGGTCTCGTGATGGCTTTTCTCGTTGTAGCATTAATAAATGGGAATGCAGCTGTTCACTGAATCTGTTCCTTGCAGTGGCATTTTAAGAATAGGAATAAACAGCATGGTGTGTAATTAAGTTAGTGTGTGACTTTAGATGGCTAGATTGCATTGCATACACTGACATAGTTCCAGTGACAACGGCCAATCCTTAATGTGCAAAAAGAATCACAGAACTTTTGAGCAAAATCAGAGTCTCTGTGTTTTGCTTGAATTAAAAGTGCAATACTTCTTACTGCATGGTTATTTAACTAAGTTTGTTTCACTTTTCACATACTGGCAACTTGAGACTTGAGACTGATAATTTTTTTGAAGTCTGAACATGCTGTTTATGACGCACAACTTCGTCAGGTTGAGCAGTGAAGGCTGACAAGTCTGGTGCTCTTCTTACCGCCAGACTGCTGTGCTTCAAGTCGTGTAGAAAAGGAAAGAGCGATCTCCAGAGTGGTGCTGTAATGGAAAGGCTAAGCCATGCAATTGGATTAACATTCTTAAAGCTCACTGATTTAACCAGAGATCTTACAGCCTAGTGCTGCTGCTCTAAATTGTGCAGCAAACTCAGAGTGGTGAGCAGTGTTGCTAATTAAGGAAAATCCTTAGGATTTGTCAAATTAGGTTGGAGAAGGTTAGACAGCTGGCAGCGGAAATTGCGTTTAGCAGCAATCTTCTAATGTCCTGCAGGTATCCCAGTGATGACTAAATATCAACATTTATATTTTGAAGGAAGCTGTCTGTCAGAGGATTTGTTTTACACTTCTGAGTAGTGCTAAGGGTGAGAAAAAGTTCCTGTCCCTCAGTTATGTACGGATTAGAAGTCCAAGAGGTAATTTTTTCTGTTCCGCTCCTCACGTACCATAACCAGAAGTCTGTGTTGACTCAGATTAGTAGTATGAGTAGGCATAATAAAGCTGATGCTACAATAAACAGTAAAACTCTGTAGTTTTAATTACATTTGAAGAGGTGGTTCAGTTGCTATTAAGAGGAACATTTGGTTAAACAGATTGTTTTATTCTGAGAAAAATAAATGGCATTTGTTATCTCTGCTTTCAGAACTGCTCTATCTTTGTAGAGAAAAATTATCACAGAAAATGTATTTGTAACCTATTAAGTAAAAAGGGAAAATAAACAACATAAAACTTTGTAGTCTCACATGAGACCTTTATGGAAACAAACTTTCAAATAATATTCATTGAGTTATAAATACTGTAGTAATGTAAAAATCCCACGAAGATACTGCTGCACAAACAGACTTTAACTGAAAAGGCCTGGTTTCTTCTGGTTTTCTCTCTTGTGGATCTTTGAAGTAACATATTCCATCAAGTATTTTGCTACCCTGTGAAAGATCTAATTTCTTCTCAGCTAATCCTCTCAGATCCTGAAAGAGAATTCAGTTTCCCTCATGTTCTTAGTCATGGGCATCAGCAGAGGTTGGTCAAGTCATGGGCCTGTTCCTGAATTCCTCAATGTTTAAGAAGTATTCTGATCATCACTGAATGGTAGAGTGTTTTGAACTTGGGTTATATCCAAATAATCCATGGGAAGTTTGCCATTCCCAAGAGAGAGTTCTTCCACTTCTTATCCACACCATTTTTAAGAAAAAAGGGAAAAAAAACCCCAAACAAACAACATTCAGGTTTATCTTTATACACATACATGTAATGTTGGTTTGTTTATTACATGGATTACTGTTAAAGATAATTTCTTACTTGCATTTGCTGTTGCCTTCATTGCATACCACCTGCATGACAAATACCTTCTGCCTTTTGAAAAGCACTCT